ATAGGCACATTAGTACTTTCTCAGAGGATTTTTGTGAATTTAAAATGAGAGTAGATGTGAAATGCTTAGAACACTTAGTATTAACCAGTGTATGTTGATAGTGTTAACTGCTTTTTTTGGTGCTGCAATTGGTTTTTTTTTTTTTTATTCTTCATTTGTACAATGGAAATAGTAGAATGGACTGCGACTGTTCTGAGGACTTAATGAGTTAATCCATGCAAAAAACTTAAAACTATACACATTGTAAGTTCCCTAAGTGTCTACCCAACTATTACTATTATATGAAAGTATCTTAAGAGGTAACTTTTGCATTCTGCATTTTCACATCTGCATCCTGGTAAAGAAACTAGCACTCCATACTGGAAAATGGCCTCTTCAAAATTTGTATTGTTATTTTACAGTAACAGTGTATTGAGCTAGGACTAGACTGTGGATTCTAAAATTCCAGACTAGGCTACATGCAAATGATTATAGGTATGTGATTAATTACATCCGCTCCTGGTGTGGTGAGAACACTTGATTTTCATTTGTTAAAAACCACAGGTATTGAACATTTAGCTGTACATTGTTAAACTTTGATGTCTGGAATTTATTAAATAGATTGTTTCTGCCTACCTTAATTACTGTGTATAGATGTGTAATCAGAAACCAACCTTTGGAAAACTGTATTAGTGGTTAGAACTGCAGTTACTCCTCTTGCCACTGGATGGTGCTTCTGCAACATTATTAAGGCAAATGTTTTGGCTGATATTGTTTCTCACTTTCCTGAGCAGCTGAAAATTGATAAAGAGTTAAATTGAACTACATTAAATTGAAATACTCGAGCTGGGTCCTAGGGATCTGTAAAAAGTGGGCATTTCTTCTAGAGTGTTTTTACATAAGCAAAACCTAAAAAAGAATCACTGGTTGGATCAAACCCTATGATTGCTCTAGTTTGTGGTAATTTAGAAAATGATAGTGTTTTAAGGAGAATCTGATTATTCCTAGTGGTAGAATCTTAAAGGGTGATAGATATTCTGGGCTTCTTTTGGTAGCTGATCTATTTATTAATTTTTCTCTGGTCTCTAAATATTATCAAAAGCTTTGCTACTCTAACATACAGGTTTTCCATAGTTAGGTGTGTGTGGTTGGGGCTGTGGAAGGTACATGTTGGAGTGATGAAGGTATTAACTTGGAAAAAGTGCCCAGCTGTAGAAGTTGGCGCTTGAAGGTACAGGAGGAAGGCTGAGGGAATGAGACTACAGGGGTGGCGTGCAGCCATGCTAGAAACGGAATGGTCAAGGTAAGGTGTTTAAGCAACAGAGAGAATACTCTTTGTAAACATACTGCTTCCTCTGTTACCCTTTTACTTCCACTGACGAACCAGGTACAGAGTTTTACACGTCAGGTGGTACCTGTGCCCATGACGACCGCAGCCACAAAGTCTTGTGCTCGTCTCCTTGTCACCTTGTCCCCAGCATCTGTTGGCCTTCCTTCTTGTTACTCAGCCCATGTTCCCTGGTCATATGCAGTTAACTTTTTAAAAAACCTTAAGATTTTGGAAATTCTCTCTTGTAACTATAGAAGATGAGAATTGAATACTTTTAGGCCACTAGACATTCCTGGTGCTTCTCCCTTCATCTTTTTAAATAGTTAAAATGCATGTTTTTTTAGCTGCTAAACCAAATAGCGTACTATATAATTCCATTTCCTTTCTTGGACTTTTTTTTTTTAATGGTAGTTTACAGTTCCTTCATTGTTACATTTGGTTAGATTTCAAGGTACTATCCATACTTTATCCCAAACTCTACAACAGAATTGCCAAACCCTCTGATTCTGCTTTTCATACAAATTCCATTAATAGCATTTCTTTCCCTTAATCTCTTAGGAGGCTTACTTCTTGCAACTTCTCGTTTTATGTTGTCCCATTCTTTTCTGTTCTCATTCTCTTCTGAACTGGTTGTTCTTTAGGCCAATTTGAACTGCCCTTTACCTCACTTTCTGAGCTGGGTTTCTTTTCTTCCTATTCTTGTTGAAGCAGTCTCTCCTACCAGCTGTATAGAAAAGATGTATGGGAGCTAAAATATTTTGAGATCTTTCATGTTTGGAAATATCTTTATTTTACTCTCTCATTTGATTTTGGCTGGTTGAAAATCTTCATTTTTAAGGACATTATCTTTTTGTACTCTGGATTCTAGTGTTGCTATTGATAAATCTTAGAGGCTGAGAATTATCATTCTTGACTTTAATATGGCCTAGTTTGTGTCTCTCCAAGCTTTTATAATGTCTTTATTCCTGGTGTCTTGAAATTTCACAGTACTACTTGGTACTGATCTTTATTATGTTAGGCACTGGGTGAGTCAGTCTAAAATAGATTCTTCCTTTGGTTCTGTTATGTTTTCTTGTGTAACTTTTAAATTACTTTCTATATGACGTTTTCTCTGTTGTTTCTTGTACTTCTTTTAGTTAGATGTGAGACCTCCTTGATCTTCTAACTTGTCATATTTCACATATATTCCATTCTTTGTGATTTTCTGGGAGATTTCAGTTTTCTCCTAGAGCCTTTCTGTTGAGTATATTATTTCTGCTGCCCGTGCCCCTCCAACCCCCACTCTTTCTTTTAAATGTCCAGAAGTTTCCTGGTTCAGGTCCTTCAGTGGAAGACTGTCTATGTGCTCCCCTGTCTGGGGTCTGCCACACGCCCCCTCCCCCTTTTATCCTTGCATTGCTCCTCTTTCCTCCAGGTTCCCTTTGTTATTGCATATCTATTTTGGCATCTCATGGGAACCTTTGTCCTTCATATTTTGGCCTGAAGCTATAGAAAGCTGATTGGAAGCTAAGTGGGCAGGTGTGGAACTTTTTTGTGTGTGGGCGGGAGGTGGGGGGTGAAAGGGTTTTACCTAACTTTATTCCCATGGTAGCAAGTCAATCACTGAAATTCCATCCACTCAGAGCGAGTCTGCATGCAGCAAGCCGGTCTCTGCCTCTGGGCCTCTCTGCCCGCACAGCCGTCCCAGTCTCTGTCCTTGGCACTGCCACCACTACAGCCTCTGCTATCCTCTCCTGCAGCCTTACAGCCATAAAGTGTGGAACTTGTCAAGTGTTTAAGTTTCACCTAAGGGTGAAGTATCTGTATGTCTTTCTCAGGGACCCTTTACTTTCTCTAGGAAACATAATTTATCTGTTTATTGAACAAATATTTTTTGAATGTCTGCTTATATGTCAGACATAGTCCTAGGTGTTGGGAATTTAACTGAATTAACATAAAACTTCCTGCTCTTATGGATCTTATCTTTTGGCAAAGGAAGACAAACAATAAATGACAGGATTAAGTAAATATATACAGTGTATTTGAGGAGTGTTAAACAGATAGGGGTAGTGAATATTAATAGGCAATGGACAGGGGCTTGGGGGACATGGGGAAACTAAGAATGGGGGGAGCAAGGGGAAGGAGCCGTGGAGAATAGTGTTCCAAATTGGAAGAACAGTATATGCACAGGCCTTGAGATGGGAATCTGTCTGACCTGTGTGTGGAACAAGGAAGCCAATACAGTTAGCTAGACCAGGGTAAGATGATACAGAAAATGATGAGGTCAAGGTGGGAAGGGAGAGGTGGGCAGAATGTGTAGGGCCTTATGGACTGTTCTAAGGACTTCTGCCTTTAGTCGTTGTGAAAATGGGATTTGGAGATGGCCAATAAGCAGTTTGGTATCTTAAATTTAGAGTTCAAGGGACACGCTTGGGCTATGATATACATTTGAGAATTGTGTGTATGTCAAATTTAAAGCCATGAAATTAAGAAAAATCACCATGGGAATAGAAAAGAGAAGTTCACTTGAATTTTTAGTAAAGGTCAGAGATGAGAAGAAACCAGTATGAAGACTGAAATGGGGTCAGGGAGGTAGGAACACCAGGAGAGTTTTTGTATAAGAAAGAATGAAAAGCTGCTTCAACTACTGCTAATTAGCTTGAGGATAGACAACATGAGATCTAGAGGGAAACTGAAAGAGTTTAGGATGAGGTTTCTATCTTGAACAATTTTGTAGATAACTTAAAACAGCCTAAAATCTTAGAAGTTCTCCAGTTGTACCTGGTTTCCATCCCAAAGAGTTGTCCTAATGTTACCTTTCTTCAGGAGAGTTTTCTGAAATAGTATTGGTTGTCAGTGTGACATTAATTTAACTGGTAGTCTTTCTCAGAGTTGGTCTTGACAACCAGGCCACTTTAGGACTATTTCCTTAGTAATTCCTAGAGAAACAAAAATACAGGCTGTATACATAGTCTGAGGTTTTTAAATGCCAGGCAGATGGCTTTTTTGGGGGGGTTGGGTATGGGAAATATGAGGGGCTAAGCTAAAGATTTTGGTTGATTAAGAAGCAGACAGGTCCTGGGGGATCTACAGTATTTCTGTTTCATGTATTTTGAAGCTCTGTGTTATTAGATGCATAAAGAGTTAGTATATTTATGCCTTCCTAATGAAGTGACCCTTTTATCTTTATGAAATTACCCTCTTTATCTCTGGTAGTAGTCTTTTGCTCTGCAAGCTAGTGAAGGTTATTTATTTTTTCCCTACTAGGAAACAATTTTTTATTCTTTTGCATTACAATATTAGATATTGTAAAATCTACTTTTTATTTCCTAAAAAGTTCACTCTCCATCCCTAGTTCTTCGAACATCTGGGATCTTACATATATTACTTGTGTTTAAAATCAGACACATTTGCTCAGAATTGCATATTTAGTGAATATCCAGAGCAAACACAAATTTTAAGTGTTTTTTTTACTCCTATTAATTTTTTTTAAATTTTACTGGAGTTTATTTGTTTTGTCATTTTGAATTCCGAATAAACTGGTATTTGAACTCAAATAGGAATCAGTGAAAAAAACTCAAGTTCTCCCATTCTCGTATCCTGGATGCCACTCTCATGCTGCCATCTTGAATCTAGGATGTCCTATTAATTTTAGTTTATCCAAATTCAGAGCCATCGAGATGATTTATCTTTTTCTTTTTCTGTGTTGTAGGAATAGACTTTAAGATCAAAACAGTTGAATTACAAGGAAAGAAAATCAAGCTACAGATATGGTAAGTGATGCTAGTTTATTCATTTTGTATAGTAAAATGCCAAGTATCCTGAGTGTTTGGCAGTGAAATTCTTCCCTGTCACCTGATTAGATTCTGTGAGACCTTCCTTGCTAAAGCTAGCAATTAAGTTTACCTTCTTTCAATGAAAAAAGAAATTACTGCCGTGGACGTAGGAGTTAATGAGATCTGGCTAAGTGTTTACCTTTTCCACTTACTATATGAACTTAGGCAAGTTGTATATACCCATTATGAGGCTCGTATATCTTCATACGTAAAATGGAGATAATACCAACTCTCTTAAAAGATTGTTATAAGGATTACTGAAATAATTCATTTTTAGTTGATATTTAACTAAAAAAATAGTAAAGCCTTTAGCATAATACTTTGTTCAAACTCAATATAAAAAGCTAATTGATATAATCCATTTGTTGCTTGAGAGTCTTGTTAAAATATTTATTTTCTCTAATGTGTTTATAACTTTTTATTAGTTTGTATAGGGTTGGCCCCATATAGAAACAATAAAATTCTTTAAATTTGTATTCAAGTATGAATCATAGACTTTAAAATTATAATAGCAATATTTTTCAGTGACTATTGAGTATTTTACATAAGTCATTTATTAACCCATTAAATACAATGACCCTGTGTGATGTGCTATTCCTTCTTTGTTTTAAACAGACTTACTGAGATATAACTGACATAAAATAAAACTGCACATATTTTAAGTGTACAGTTTGGTTAAGTTTTGACATACATATAAAGCTGAAAAACCACCACAATCAAGATAATGAACATATTTGTCATCTTAAAACTTCCTCAAGTCAGGCAACCAGTCATTATTTTGCTTTCTGTCACTACAGTTTCTATTTTCTGCCCCTGTTTATTAATGCAGCCATATAATGTGTTATTTTTCTTAGTCTTTTTTTGTGAGGGGGATCTGGCTTCTTTTAATCAGCATAATTATTTTGAAAATTATCAAATGATTTTATGTGTATTGCTAAGTTCATTACTTTTCATTGCTGAGTAGTATTCTGTTGTTGAGATATATCACAGCTTGTTTATTTATCTTAAAGCTGCCACAAATCTTTGTATAAAATATGCTTTCTTTTCTCTTGGATTATTCCCCAGATCATGAAATGGAGGCATTTTGAAATAATTTAAGCAAAGTTTTGCAGCATGTAAATGGCAGAGTTGGGATGCACATTACATGCTCAGAATATAGGGTTGAGAGTAGCATTGTAATTGCTATAACTGCCTCCTATAAATAGTGTATTTTGTCAGTTGATTTTATTGCTCTTTCCAGTTACTATCATTTTTTTTTCTGCACTGCCAGCCAACAATTGTGTTACATTTGAATTCATGTGATCTTGGGTTTTACTGTAACAGGACCCTGTCATAGAAAGATGAGGTTGAGTGATACATGTAAAGCACTTAGAGCAATGTCTAATGCATAATTAATGTTCAGTAATATTAGCTGTAATGAGGATCTCCCATTATGAGGCTAGAACCATGAGAATAATAATGTTCTATTTTAGGATATGAGCAAAGGAGAAAGTAGCAAAGGATATTGCAAAGCCATGGTTAGCTTGGAGAACTGGTAGAGAACAATGTCCCAGAATCCAAAAGATACTTTCAAAAAGTTAGGTATTCCCTTTTAAAGGAAGCTAGTGATTAGAAGTAGGGTGTGTTTAACCAGAATGTCTTCATTACCTGAACATGTAATTAGATATATCTTCATAGCTTCTTTAAGTTTAATTAAAAATTTAAAGGAAATTTAGACATTTCTAAATGTTTTCTAAATTTTGTGATTCTCTTTGAAGCACAATTCACTTGTTTTTTATTACTTTAACTGGGAAATAACTAAACAAATAAACTGTGCCTTATATTCTGTTTCATTATAATTAAGTCTGATCTCAAGGGAAAGGATGTCAGTTATTATGAACTTAACCAGCCCTTCACTTTTTTTTTTTTAAGTGTTATCCTGACCTTGGCCCTACATGGGGGTCTGGTTCCAAGCCTCTCCTAAGCTCTGCCACACTTACTGGTTCTGTTCTCAGCTGCATCCCCTCTGTACACACTTTAATTAAGCACTTTTAAAACTTTTGACAGTAAGAGATATATTTTATATTTTAACTCTGTGACTCAGTGGACATGTATATAACAAACAAAAGTACATAACGATTTTTTCAGATACATTTTTTTTCTATATAATATATATAAAACTTTTGCCCTACTAAATATGTCCTGTTCTTCCTTTTACACTGTCTTGTGCAGTCTTTCCCTCTTCTATTCCTTGACCTCGTGCCATTAAACATTTTTTTCTCTCTTATCATTGTAGCCTGTGTAGCTTTTAGAAGTAAACAGTAACAACTAACACTTGATTTTAAAGAGAGCTTTCCTCATAAGATGCTCTTTTGAAACAGTATGTCCTCTGATGCGGCCTTCGAGATTAATCTAGAAAATATTCCTGCTGTACTTATAAAACTCAAGCATAGCACAGAAATGATAACACTTCTAATTTAGAGTTGTTTAATTTTTAGGCATTTTTAATAGAACCTCTCAGGTGAAACACCTCAGATGGAAATGTTTGTTTAGTTTAGGTTTTCATATATATAACTGCTTTTAATTTGAAATGTCCATTTTCCTATAGAGATTAGAAGTGAGTGAGTGGTTATAATTTGTGATTAGTATAATTTCATTTGGTTTTGCTTCTTTGACATGTTAACATGCCAGGAAGAAAGAAGTCATGTAGCTCCAGGTGAAGAGATCTGGGATATGCCACAGTACTTCAAGAAGACTTTTAGCATGAAAAACTCATTACTTGGTCGTTTTCAGAACTCTACCCTCAACTTGAATCCTTACTTTGCCTCTAATTGCTACTGAAATGCTCAGTCATTTTTATCTTTCTCTAGTTTGAACAAATACATTCAGATTTTTGTTTCAGCATGGAAATTCCTATTCTGTGATTGAATATTAGTTTTGGAAGCTTTCCTCAGTCTGTGCTAAAGCTTTGTCTTATTTTTCTTTTCTTGAGTGATTTTCACTTCTTGCTTTCTTTCCAGGAATCTTTTAGTCTATCTGTTGCATAAGGGTGGAGATGGGTCTCATCCTATCCAAGGCATATGTGTAGACCTAAAATTAGCTTGTTTGGCAGGTAGAGAAGCAGCTGTGGGCTCTCTAAATCCCAGATCTCTAGAAGTTTCCACCACAGTATGTTTTGTTATCTACATTTTCCATAGAGTAGTGGGGCCTGCCAGGAAAACAGCCAGAGTGAGTTACTTCAAGGGTGCTTTTTCTTTCCTTTCCCTTCCCTACCTTCTCCTCCCTTCCCATCCCTTCCTTCTTTTTTAAAAGTTTATTAAGGGGACTGGGACCAGAAGTGTTTCCCACTGTCAGCATCTGTATCTTTTACCAGCTGCAAATTAGCATCAACACAATCAGAAACCACATTGTAGGGTGTCACAATTATAGAAGAATTAACCACTTACCTGTGTAAGGTGCCAGATACTTGGGAATCCTTTTTGATTCTTCCAATTCCCTTAACCCCAACATCCAATTTAGCAAGCCCAGTTGATTCTTTCTCCAAAATATGTCTAGAATCCATATACATTTTGCCACCTCCATTGGTACCCTATTCTAACCATGCCTCTCTTACCTCTTCTTTGAACCATTGCTGAAGGCTCTTAAAGTCCTTAACTTCCTGTTGTGCCTCCTTCTGGCACTCTTCCCTCATAACAGCTAGAGTAACCTTTGTCAAATATAAATCTGGTCATGGTTGTCATTCCTTCTATTTATAACCATTTTGACTTTCCATTGCATTTCAAATGAAATTGCAAGTCCGAATTTCTTATCACAGGCTATGGTGGGGATCCCTCCTACCCACCTTTTGACCTCATTTTGTGCTCCCTTTTGTCTTTACCTGCAGCTAATCTCCTTTCAATTCCATGAACATAGCAGGCCCTTTTCCAGTTTAGGACCTTTATACATGCCCTGTAGACTTCTCTCAACCCCCCAGTCCCCCTCAACCTTATCCACATTGTGTCCCGTGTGCTTCTCCTTCTCCCACGTCCCATACCACCACAAGGCTCAGCATTCCACTTCATTCCAGAGGCTTCTCTTTTCCACAGAAATAAAATTGAAAACTTTGGGTTTTGGCTGCTGCCCCTTCTGACCTCATCTCTACCAGCTCTTCTCCAGCCACTCTGGCCATTTTTTCCTTCCTGAGCATACCAAGCATGTTCCCATCTCAGAGCCTTTGTACTTCAACTGTTCTTCGACGTGGAACCTTTTCATCAGATTTTTGCCCAGATTTAAGCCTTCTCTTATTCAGACCTCAGTTTGGTGTTATCCTCAGAGAGAGGCCTTAGCCTTGCATGGTGACTAGCTAAAGCAGCCCAGTTCTCCATGGGCTATCATTTATCCAAGTTTCTCATTTTTTTTATAATTGAAGTATAGTTGATATTCGGTCTTATATTAGTTTCAAGTATACAACACAGTGGTTCAACAGTTACCCATATTATTAAATCCTTACCCCCACTAGTACAGCTTCTATCTGTCAACGTAGGAAGATGTTACAGAATCACTATTTTCCCTATGCTGTACTACCATCCCTGTGACAAACCTGCATTGTGATTTATAATTTTTGTGCTGCTTTTTCCCCCTCACCTTCCCCACGCACCCCAACCCCTCTTCCATGGTAACCACCAGTCACTTCTCAGTGTCTGTGAGTCTGCTGCTGTTTTGTTCATTCTGTTTTGCTTTATATTCCACAAATAAGTGAAATCATATGGTCCTTATATTTCTCCGCCTGGCTTATTTCACTGAGCATAAATACCCTTTAGCTCCATACATGTTGTTGCAAATGGCAGGATTTCTTTTCATTTTGTGGTTGTTAATAATCTGTTGTGTATATGTACCTCATCTTTATCTATTCATCTATTGATGGACACTTAGGTTGCTCCAAATTTATGTCTGTCATAGTATTTTTAGTATCTAAAGTT